TGTATTCCCAAAATATGTTGTTATAATCAGACTATAAAAAGAGGTGTTAATACTGAACAAACTTTGCAATGTTTACCTAAGTTAATTGCTTAAGAGGTAATACATCATTGCTAGTGGAAGTAAATTAAGTAAGAAGAGCCTAGTATTCAATAAACAGCTTGCACCCACTGCAGTAAAATAGACTTACGCCTACGAATTGCTCTACTTTCTTTCAAGCAGCCTGTTTCAGACTTTTGGGGAAAGTAGGAAGGAGGTTAAGGTCGGTTTTTTTTCATATATGGAAATGAAGATGCATATTCGAATAGCAGATATGTTGGGGATCCACATAGCATTGAAATACTTGGGTCATAAGCCAAACCAAGACAGAAATGCATAAAAATTAACAATCCAGTAACATGACTTAAATCCTTAATAGTCCACAGGACTCTGTAGCTGACTCTGGGGCACAGATCAGATCTAATTATATGTCATATCTAAGATGTTACAGTTACTCTAGGGAAAACCATATTTCCATTGGCATATGCTATAACCTCATCACTTAGCTTATAAGCAGAATTCATCCAGACAGATACAGACTCTGAACTAGCAAGTTATTCCCAGCCTTCAGTCACAGTGGTTTGAAAATATTCAGTAACTTGTTGCACTAAAATTAAAAGAACAACTTGAAGTGTGAAGTGCTACTCAGTCAAAATTCGGCCCTTTAAGACTTTATGCTGCCCTTCTGTTCAAAATATATGCCTACTATTCTCTCATTTCTTCTTTTCCAAAATAACAAAAATTAGCAATTTCACATTTTTTCTTCTTTTTAATGATGTCTAGTAGATGTGTTGTTTTCATTTGTAAAATATGTGAGGTGGCTTTTAGAAGTGATCTACTTTTAGTTGCAAATAGTTGATGCCTTCACCCTGGTTGACTGTTGGTAATTAGCACCTTCTGGTCCACTGTGGACAATTTCCCACTTACTGCTTTTTAAGGTGCTAAAACTCATCTCCATCAGCTCTGTGTCCTCTAGTTCCAGTTCCTTGTCAGGAAGACTGCTAAGATTTTGCTTTTTTTCTCTTTTAGTAATAATCTACAACCCAAAGGAGAATCTGCAAGTGACAGGATTTTGTTAAGCTGGATCCTCTGCTGATGGGGGACAAAGCTGCGATAATATATGTTAAAGCCTTCCTCTCAAATAAGAGGTGTTACCAAGCACAAAAATAGGTTCTGGCTGTGAAAGCAACAGCCATGAAAAGAAGTCACCTTGAGAAAGAAATGGAGATTTCCTTATTACCTATTAATTTTTTGGCAATCGGGTAGATGAAACATAATGATATCTGTTTTACAATAACATCGATGACTTATAATGTTGCATTAGTAACATTTTTTTATACCATTGTTTTCCTAAGAAAAAAAAAAGCCCCTAAGGAATTCTCTTCAAGCCTCGGCACTGCAAAACTGGCACGTTTCTGAGCATTTGACTGGAAGCTATAGCAGGGACATATTTGGTGGGTTAGTGTCTACTGGCATCTGTGCATGCTTGACGTATGTGAACCATCGCTCTCAGCTTCTCAATGAAAATAAAATGCTGAACTTCAACATACATATAAAAATATTAAAATGCGCATAAATATATCAAGTATAGCAGATACAGTTACCTACTTACCAGATTCATCATTTAACATAAACAGTCAGAATTCAATCAACGGAAAAGGTAGTTAGATTTTGCTTCAGGAAAATCTCCATTTGGCCAAATCCTTTCCCTTTTCATGACAACCACCTGAATAGTATCCATGTTGTAAGGCTCATCCTTGAGACATTCCTGTCATTGATCATCTCTGGTCTGAGAACAAAATTGCGGTAATGATAAAAAAAAGGTCTTACTCAAAAGGACTTCATGGCTTACGAGTATTGAGCTCACTTTTACTGCATTCATGGTGGCTCCCCATCTTTACCTACCACATATGTTGGCTTTTTTTTCTCTCCTCACCCCAGGAATGTAGTTTAAAGATACTCAGAACAGTTCTGCAGGAGCTGCAATCTCTATCTATCTCCTACACTGCATGATCCCATGAGGATGAACTGCAAAATGTTAGTCCTGGTCTTTGCATTCACTAAAAGGTTGTGATAAAAGTGTTTTGAAAAAACAATCATGATCCAAAATTAAATAGAAAAATGCAGTGGAAGCTGTCAATGTTGATGGATTAACTTCACTTGCTAGAAGCTGGGCATTCATTGCTAATGACTTTTGTCAGAGGAGCTCAGTAATCAGGAGCTTTAATCATCAGCCCTTGATGATTTTCAGAACTCAGTGCAAATTCTACTTTTTCAGTATCAGCCAGGGAGATTATCCTTGGCAAGAAGAGATGGAAAGAAGGCTAACTCAAAGGAGGCACGCAGTAAAACAAAAACTGGAAGAAGCTTCTAAAGGAAGAGGAGTTCCTGATGTCCCAGAAGATTACAGTTTTCACTCTTTCAGTGAATCAAGTCCTTTTGGCCACTCAAAGTGACTCCTCCTATGCTGATACAATTCTGCAAAACCCCAGAAATTAGGAAAGTAAGCAAAGAAAAAGACAAAGGGATGCAGTCATTTTTGACTGCCAGCCAAATTTAGGATGGCTTTATTTCTGGAAGAAAATGATGGTAATTTAAACAATCTGAAATCTTGCATACAGAGTAAAAGAAACATGCCTGAAAAAAAGCCTTCTGATATTTTCAGTGCTCAGAACAGAATCAGCCCATATAAAATTAATATAATTACTATGCGATTTCCATCTGTTAACAAAGCCAAATGATTAGAGCTGCTAGAAAAACAGTCTTAGTGGAACAAACACAGATAATGAATTTAAATAAGTACATAAGCTAAAAGACAATGTCAAGCTCAATCACTTGGCAACATTAAAAGTAGAGTAAATGAATTGGCTGTGAATTGCCGTATCATTCGGCAGCAATGTTATGGTGAGCGTCTGTTCGGATTTTCTTGGGCCCTATGCCAAAACTATCTATCTCTTTTAGACAGCTCCTTTTCCAGATTATTCCATGAATATCTTTAGTGTTTTGCTCTGCTTGCTCATATGCTCTGTAGGTCTGTTTGAACACCTTTCCCAACCATTCTTGCATGCTCCAAAAATATTTTTCATGTTTCCCTGGCGCTTTCCAGTTTGTTTCACAGACCTGCTTTACTGAGACAACAGAAAACTCAAATAAACTCTCTTTAGTCCTTCACTACCTTTTAACAGAGCTAGAAATTATTTATAAGAATATTGTATAATCATAATAAATATTTAATTTTATGCATTAATTTACACATAAATTTACACATAATTATATGTGTAAAACAAAGTGCTTGGTAAAAAGCTTAATAGTGCGTTTTGAAAAACATCACATATTAGGTGTCAAAAGAGTATTCTAGGCAGCCCCTTGCAATACACATTGGTACTACAGGTCTCGGTAGCCAGCATTTTCAAAAAAGTAAAATCTATTTAAAAGTCACAGGGACTTAGGTTCCAAAATATCTAAGTCAGTTTTGAAAAGGACATTTCTGGGATAGAACTCATGAACAGCTAGACAATCCTACATTCAGTCTCCAGAAAGATGCTACTAATCCATGTCTTAAACCTTTTGTAGAGAAAGCATTTGGTGATGCCTCCCCCTACACAAACTGAAACATCAAGATGGTGAAACACTGCCTGAGCAACCTTTCCATATATAAGAATTGACATTTCCTCAGCAAATAGGCCTCTATCAATTCTGAAAAACATCAATGGAAAGCAAGTCATATAAACTTAACTTGAAAAACATCTAAGCACTTTGTGCTGGAGTATGGCAGTATATTTTTAAAGGTTCATTTTTCTAATCGAGAATAAGTACTTGCTATTTTTGGAGCACTACCTGTCACAATACTGTACTAAGAGTGAAGAACATAAGCCTCATGAATGTTTCCAAATCATGAGAAGATATAATGTCAGGAAGACCTCAAAATATCTGAGCTTATATGAAAATGTGAAACCCTCAGTATGCTGATGAATGTACCATGGTCTAAAAAATATATTTCACAAGGGCTTCATTTCATGGAAGCCCTCCCTTTTATATATCAGAAGAGAGTTAGCAGGAAAGAGCATGGTATTTTTGCTCTTTTATTTTGCTTCTAATTCATATGTTCAGTAAAGGTGAATAAATAAAATGATTATGGAAATATGAGTGGGTGAGAAATGTACTAAAACACACTCATCTCCCACATCTTATCTAGGCATGAAATCTCAGAGAAGGAAAGGACTGAGAGGAGAGTCATAAAACCTCCTATATTATACATAGAATGCCAGAGGATCATTTGACGCAGGGTATGTCAAATGTACCCACCAAAGTGTACTTGAGTGCATTTTTCACTTTGGAGGCCGGATTTCTTACAGAGGCCTTGTCCCATATCAGGCAGGACTGTAGAGCTGCTCTGCCCATGCAGTGTCTTGGGGAGACCACAGAATCCAGAATCCTTCCCTACATCTCATAGGGCTTTTTCTTTTCTCTCTCTCTTTTTTTTTTTTTTCTTTTCTAATAACAGGTGACTATGCCTTGAACAGCAGCTAGAACTAGTTACCTCTTCTTTGCTTGCATCTAAATTGTCCTAGCTTATGTATGATGTAAGGCATACTAATATTTCCCAGCAGAACATGTTGTCAAAACCTAAAACTAGCCCTGGCTGCATTTCTGTGGAACCAGAGAGGCAGGGATATATATAAAAAAATACTTAAGAATTGCTAGGAAGTGAATTGTATTGATGCATCTTTTCGTTATTATGTAGTATCACCATCCTTCCTATCTAATAATTTACTTCCCTCTTGTGAAGATTTGCTTTTCTCTCAGTTCATCCAGTATGTATTATTTGTTAATATAAATACGTTAGTAGGATATGTATCCAAATCGGAGTCAAGCAAAATTCAATTGTTGCTGTTCCAGAAAAGCCTTATGCCAACTGACTGTTTTCTCTACAACAATTCAGTATTTCAGAGAAAGTCACTTACCTTGTCTGACAGCTAGTGTTGTTGTGTAGACCAAGAATAGGAGGATATAATTGAGGAAGCTCTGAAAAACAGGTGTGTTGGCATGGAAATCTTCTGACAAATACTTGCTCGTCAGGCCAATGCCACAGATAAGGAGAGACAGTACTTGGCCAAGAGCCACAGACAGCAAGAGGTCCCTAAAAGGAAAGAGACAAACACAGACATTAAACATTCAGCTTTTTCATGAAACCAGAACTGCTCATCCTCCTCCAAGTATATTAGAAATTTTAAGACACAGGCAGAAACATGATACTTAAATCAGTGAGTACTTGTTGGATGTTGCTGATATGCTTTTATATTATTTCTGCTCTTAACAGGGCTTAAACACTGCCCAAACACAGCACTGATAGCAAATATTTGCAATTTAATTTCACATGCACACAGCATAAATGCAACCAAAACACAGCACGGTTTTCTTCCAGTGTCTTCACTAGTAAAAAGACTCAGGGGTACCATTTACATAAAGGTAGAGCTATAGCTGTTCCTCAGTTTGGACCCCCAGAGAGAAACAGAGAAATGACTTTATCACATTTTGCCATCAACATAAATTTACTGTATAATTTTATTCCTTTATTTCATTTTCATTTCATAGTATAAACTGTTCTTTCCATCTGCTCTGAAAGTGTTTGTATCTTCCTTCATCTGTCATTGCTTACTTTCCCTTTTGCTTTTTGGAGGGTAGGGGAGTCCAATTTTTCATTACTGTCTTCCTCTGGTTCTTGAAAATGTGTTTTCTGATTTGCTTTCTTGTATTAGCCCGTATTTCTTGACACTTCCACTGAATTTCCTTGCTTCCTGGCTCCCCTTTCTACCTCCCCACAGCTATTCGACAGTTGCTTCTTTGTTGCATACTCTTTTCTCACTTTCTCCTCATTACTCAAGAAACTGTTAAATCCAAAAGACTGTTCTTTTATAGTCTATATCCTTTTTATCCTATATTCCTTCAGTCTTCTCAGTGATACCCTTTTCTGTTCCAAGTTTTCTTGTCTTTTTTCTTTTTTTCCTCAGAACTTTATTTATCTCTTAACTGCACAGTTCAATTCATCCCAAATCACCTGTTTTTTTTTCATTTTTTTTTCCACAGTATATTCTGCTTCCATAGCAGAGGAATACATATATACATACATATTGGCAGTAAGAGTTTTCACAAAGCCACTGGCATGCCGGCAGGCTGCCAGATGTCAGAACTGGCATGCTGATCGAGTCTGTTCTATAGCTACACCTTTCTCCTTGCAAAAGCACAAACATGCAAAAGGGCATTACAGCCGGACATACAGTCGCAGCCCTGCTGGTTGCTGCTGTCACTGCCACCACCCCCAGAGGGCTGCCTGAGGGAACCCAGGTAGGAGACAGGAACATGGGAGAGGAGCATGTTACAGGTCTCATTACAGCCCTAGTACAAAAAAAAGGGCATTAAACAATCCTATGGAAGGAGAGGAGCACTTTGTTCAGCTATAGAAATATTTTGCCATGTTTTCCTCCCTCACAGAGTTAAAAAAAAAGGAAAAAAAAAAAGCTTCAAGCTTGTTTTGCTTTCCCTGACTGATTTCTCCCACCCTAGTTATGATTATTCAGCAACAAGGAGGATCAGTGCAACAGCAACAAGTTTCTTAGTAAACTCAAATGTCAAATTTGTTTTCCTTTTTCTCATAAACAATCCTCCCACTAATGTGTCTCAGTGTCAGTCATGGCATGATTCACCCAAACAGACACTGGAAAAGCCAGGAGCCCAAGTAATTATATTCATATAACATACCTTGCCGACAAATAGTCTGAGCACAGGCAGACAGAGAACAAACTTCATTGTGCTAAATCTTGTGTTTTGATGGGAGACTGCTGGATAAGTAGAAACTTAGATTCAGTAGCCACTGCCTCAACTTTTACAAGGCTCACTCTGATGCAAAATGACCATGTGAAATAGACACAACTCAACAGAGATGACCCTTAGACTAGGAAGCAAAGGTTGCCCAAGCCACAAAACCTCAACTCCTGTTACTGTCTGCAATGCTATTGATGTCAGGTAGGAAGTTGGAACAATGACTGTGATTTGAATCTGCAGAATGAGCTCGTAGACTTGCATTCGCTTATCCTTTACCATGTTGGATGCTGGGTTTTTTATGTCTTTGGGGTGCAACGAAGGTTCATGCAGAACCATCTTTGCCTGCAGGTTCTGCAATTTTATTCATTAATAAGTTAACGTTTGCAAATCTGTATCTCTAAGCAGCTTGCTGCTTTACACAGGATACAGGTGTTAATAGCCTTTTTCTGTGCCTCAGATATGACCATTAGCAAATGTTACATTACATCTATTGGTATTGCATCTGCTCTAGAAAGAAGTATTTGGATCTTACTTTGACTGAGAGAGCTAAATATAGTCTCACTTAATCACTCATGAAAGGCTTTTATCAATAATATGCTCCTTGCTCCACATGGCAATCAGCGTTGAACATCACTAATCATACCATTTTTTTTTTCTTTCTGGTGGGAATTTTGATGAGGTCTTATAAACTCAGAGCTTTTTCTCTAATCTTTATACTTAGATGTCACCAGGGCCTAATGCAGAAAAAAAAATTGTTCCTTATATTTATTTATTTATTATTATTTTACTATCTCTTTAGTGCTAAGTCATTTGTGTGTGAAGTTAAATACTTAAGCAGAACTAATTCAAAGTCCATGAAGTACTCATACTTCAAGCAAGGATGATCTGTCTTGTAGTGACCCATCTTACATAGTCTTCCTCCTAAGAGGGCCAGAAGATTTGGTATGTTCCTCTTCCCTCACCATAGGGAGGGCATAGTCTTCCTCCTAAGAGGGCCAGAATATTTGGTATGTTCCTCTTCCCTCACCAGTATAGGTATAACTGGCACTAACCACTACCACTACTTCCCTTTAGACAAGGCCAAAAGGCAATCACGTAGTGCTGTCATCTCAGGCGCTCGCTAGGCAGTATCATAAATAACATAATATTGTTGAAATGTGCAACAAAGCTCCCAAGTGCAACACTTTCCCTCTTGGTTTGCAAATCCTCCACCTCATAAAGATCTGCACAAAGAGGATGAATTCTTCCCCCAGCCTTTGGCCTACCAGCAGCTTCTGCAGTAACTCTGTTCACTGTGGTAAGGACACTCTGCTAAAGAGCAGTATGGTTTGAGGGCCTTCAAACAGAACAACAGAGAGAGTCTCACTACAAAAAGCTTAATAGAAGTGAGGCTTTCTGCCTGGAGTGCAACTTCTCATTAGTTGAGTGTTACTTTTTTTTCTCTACTTGTATGCTATTCAGATCAAAATAAGCCAAACCTTCAAAAATTCTTTTTTTCTCCCTACTAGGAGGTACAATGTCTCTTCAAGCCAAGTTCAAATAGGGGAAGACCTTCAAAATACCTCTCAATTTGCTCTCTCATGAGCTCATGATGTTCATTCAGTAATGCAAAGCAAGACATTTTTCTCTTGGAAAACACCAGTTTAGGACCATCTCCTTGTACGTTTTCGTGCCATTTGAGTTATAACTCTGTGTTGTAACCAATCACATTCATTTCAAAAGTCTAGACACTCTGGCTCGTTAATCTGCCCAACACTTGCTAATTGAGTTTAATGTGTACTGTGAGGTGGGAAGAAGAAAGTTGGAATTACTACTAGACCTCCAGACGTCACACCGCTAGGCAGCTATCATGGCAGTTTCATGATATGCTACCAGAGATTAAACAATACTTCTTTACAGCCTCTTTAGCAGCAGCACCAGATAATAGAGCCTCAACCTTGCGTTGGGAGTCATTTCGTTCTGTTTAAACTTTTGGACTGGAAGCTGCTAAGCATCATTTACTTACCAGGTTTAGAAATTTCTTTTAGTTTTTTTTCTTCCTCTTTATGAGCTATGGTATAAACTTCTGAAGGAAGATATTCTCATATCAAAAAGCTTTAAATCTAGTGCTTGGTTTCTAGCACGTTCATGCTGGCATGATGAAAAATACTAGATACCTAAGATACTAGATAAGGTTAGAACATCTAGCTCTGATTTCTTAGTCCATTTCCAACTCTTGCCAAATATTAAGACATCATTTACAGTACCAAATCGATGCAGGGTAACATCCAGAATGGACCACACCATCACAGCTGCCACCTGCTAGATGAATCAGTGACTTACAAAGGGTGGATAAGTGATTTAAACACTCAGGGTTGTTTTATTCTGCCAGTAGCTCCCAATTTAAAGCACTTTCCACACCAGTTTCCTTTCAAATTCATTGCTTTTCCTCCTCTCTTTTGTACTTTACTCAGTCCCTTTCCTCTGAAAGGTCCCCACTGCATCAGTTACAGAGTACTTTTAGCGGGTGAAGAACAGAGGCTACTGGTACTTTTAATCTCTAGCATGAGGTGTGTTAATTTTCCAGCACATCACAGACAGCAGTAGTGAGGAGATTAGCAGCCTATTTCCTGATTTGAGGTTTCACGGGATGAGCACATCTGTATAGGCTGTTCTGTAGCACAGGCCTGCAGGCAGAACTATGCTTTCTACAGGATGATAATGACTGCTATGCATAGTTATCTTTCAAAATGTTCCAAGTGTGTATTTAAAAAAAAGAAAAAAATCGAAAAAAATAGACTTCATTTAGATACTGATTACTATTACGCCTTAGTCAAGTTGATGAAGTCTGTCACGGCACTACGATTTTGCCAGGTTTCTTCACTTGAGTGTGTTTTAATGTGTTTATGTAACAGGGTAATAACAAATAAACAAGTCTTTTAAAAAACTGCCTTAAAACCTGTACTTTTATTCAAAGTGAGCTGAGGTTACTTCCCAATGAAAATCACTCATTTAATACCTAAATGTGGATGTGGAATCTTATCCTAAACACCCATCAATAAAAATGTTGATATACACTACTATAGGAAAAGAAGGAAAATCTCAAATATCAAAAAAAAAGAGGGGATGTTGTTGCTTCTATCATGGACGAGCTTTTAAGTCTCAACATTCCATCACATTCAAATAGCTACTTAATGAGCTACTTAAAGAATGTTACTCCCAGATTTTGCTGGTGCATTTAATGCATACGGGCAGCTTGAAAAAAAAAATTTGCTAAACTTAAGCTAATGCTGCAGGTTTCTAGCACGCCTTAAACATATGAAAACCTCCTAATTGCCC